TTTAATAACTCAGGATAACTCAGAGCGAGGTACTTCTTATCAAACAGATCGCTAGTTGTAAGTACGCAGCGACTTTTGAGGATATAGCTGTCTGCATACTCGGGTATTAAGCTTAGAGCGATGGGCTTGCTACTAGACTTACTAAGTTTAGCATAAAAGGTATCCATTTCCGGTTTTGAGGGAACAGGGATCTCCTTTGACACGTTTCCTTTAGCAGAGTTATCAGGGCTGGAAACATTGGAGAGGTTCTCAATCTTGGCATATAAATCGTTTTTCATTTTCCTTGCGGATGTAAAGTTTATTTCTCGCACCTTTTCATATTCTACTTGTTTGACGTAGGTAGGTAAAAGCCACGAGCACTTCACTTGCGTGCAAGCAAGTCTGCCGTTTATTTTTGTCCACGCTTCCAGATAAAATAGCACGCTTGCTATATGCGAACAGGTTTCTGCCAGGCCAGCCTTGCAACCTAAGCAGTGTGCAAACAAAATTGTTCCTTCTCTTTCCGTGATAACCCAACATGAAATAAGAGAGACGTTCATACGCTGGGAATGTCTCACCTTTGCTAAAACAAGAAACTCGTCGGCGATTATGTGGCCTTGCACGCTTGCGATAAAACCAGAGACCATTTGGTTATATGCTTCAAGACTTCGGAAAGCTTTAAACTGTTTCTGAGTGTAGAAACTTGTCTCCAAGACAAGATAACACAAAATATCTGTGGATTCAACAGGAGGCAAACAGTCCGGCTTAAAGTCCTTCCCTTCGACTAAAACTGGATCAATTCCAATTGCCGCTATTTTCTGTAAATATCGATCTCTGACTGGAAAATCCCGCTGCTTCGCGTATTCGGATATCGGAAAAGAATAGTCGACCCCGCTTTTGTTCTGGGACTCTTTTTCTTTCTCTTTTGAATCCATTTTACTTGTGGGAATGATAGTTGTGGAAAAATTACGGGGATTACGCAATCGAAAGTGGTACACCAATATGGCCGACCGGAAATGATGTGACGTCACGTGAAAACGATCTATCGATCGCATTAATTGATGATTGACTGATGAAGTCACTGTGTTCTGACTATCATCGCAATGAAATTCATTTTATATTCTCCTGCACCATTATACGATCATGCCATGACGTATATCATAGATAACAATCAAAAAGCCGAGGTGTAAGGTTCCCTTAAGAACAATTCAACGGAAGACATCTTTCTAGAATCAAACGTGGAAACCCTATCCCTTTTATGGCGCCAAGGTCAAGACAAGTAACTTCTTATAAATCGTTTGTCGCTTTTCGTATTCAGCAACCTGATTGAATCGGTTAAACGATCACCCGCAGCGGCTGTGTTTTTACACTCACCCGATAATAGCCTGGTAGTTCGTTGTGGTAATAATTGAAGAGGGGCACGAAATAAATCAAGTTTTAGTTAGGCAGCGGAAGATGCATGCGTTATTCACACATAGCAGAACACTTTCCATTTCCTAGCTTGAATGGAAGGATAATCTTCTCGATACGATTGCCGGTGGATAATTCTACGAAGAAAGGCTTTGGAGATCATGAAACATGTGAGGCCTTTTTCTGGACAATTACGTTATACAGAACTTTGTTGGTGTTTACATAGCCTCGTCTTACTTCTAGAGGAGTTGGAAGAATTTAAAAAGTTAGGCAAACTTGAGACGCAGTTCACCTGAGTTCCCACGAAGATATCGTCCAGCTCATGATAATAATAGTAATTAATAATAATTTATTGACTTCTAAGGCGCAAATTCTATGTATATATATTTAAATGCGCCGTAACATAATAATTACAATAAACTAGAGATAAAATAAATATAATAATAATGTTAATTGGAATACAAAAAAAAATTAAATAAGATTCATAATAAGATATATAACATATAACTAATAACTAATTATTACTTGAAATGTTCTATTTAAACTTTTAATAATGAATAAATAACTATAAAAAATTTATTAATTATAAAATGCTTTCTTAAAAAGAAACGTCTTAAGCTTCGATTTAAAATATTACTAGAACTAGATTCTCTTATATCCCTTGGTAAATTATTTCATAACTTAGGTGCTGCAAACATAAATACCCAGTCACCAAGCGTTGCCTTAGACATAAAAATTAGGATAACTGAGTAAGGTCTTATCCCTGGAATTCCTTAAATTATATCTTGACTCGGGCTTGCGTGTCATTAGAGAACTTAAATAAGACGGTGCAAAACCCTTAAAAATCTTGAAAACACTTAATACAATATTCAATTCAATTCTTAGCTTAATAGGTAACCAGTGCAACTCCATCAATAAAAAAGTAATGTGACGATATTTACTTTCATTTGCATATTAATCGAGCACACATGTGTTGAACACGTTGCAATTTGTTAATTTGATATTCCGGGACACCATACAACACAAACTATTGCAATCGTCAATTCTGCTTGAGATAAAGGCATGGACCAAAGTTTTTGTATTCTCTTTAGACAGGTACATCCTTATCCTCCTCAGATTGTATAAGTAGTAAGAGGCAGAGTTGCATGTTCTTGTAATGTGAGTTGCCATTGTGAGTTTTGCGTCGAACCATGAGCCCAAGTTCCTCGCAGATGACACGGGAGTAATTGCTGAGTTGCCAACACAGAGACTGGAAATAATTACTTTAGCGAGTTGCTGGGATGTACCAATGATCAGAAACTCAGTCTTGTCGTCGCTCAGTTTCAATTTTTCATTCAACATCCAATTACGAATATCATCAATACAGCTTTCCATTCTAGCCAAA